TGTATTTCTGTTACATTTTGATTTATGAATGACTGTGCTATATTATTTGCTTCAAATACATTTATATTTGTTAGATCTTAAAAAAAAAAAAAAAAAAAAAGATAAAACCAGGCACACACCTGGGATTACGAATACAATTAAGCAAAAGACTTAGCCTAAAGTTGCCTGACAATTAAGCCAAAAAAAGAGGAACTTGCTAATACTATAGGAGACTGACTGTCCCAACACAAAAATGTGACCAAAAAGAGAATCTTTTTCTTGGCCTTTTCAAATGTTATTACTAGGCATTTGAAATTTGAAAGGTGGAGAGATAAAAGACAGAAAAAAGTTAGTAACTTAAAAACTTCTTAATCAGAAATTATAACTGTTTTGAACTTACAAGGTACTCCATCAAGATCATCATCAAGACTCTTTATAGGGACTCCATCAAGATCATCAATGGGAGTAGCATCAATAGGAATTCCATCCACATCTTCAAGAGGTGCACCATCAAGTTCTTCCTCAATGGGGGCACCATCGAGATCATCAGGTACATCCTACAGAAATGTGTACTATCATAATATGTTCCTTTGTCTGAAGTCATATTGCTACAATATTAATTTATAATCTAATATTAACCAACCAGTTGGATACCCACTCATACTCCCAAGTACAATACGAGGACATAATAGCAATATATATTATCATCCAGTCCACAAAAGCAGTCATTCATACATTTACTTATCAAATTTTTACCATGTGTTTATTCCTGCCAGGCACCATGTGAGGCACTGAAGATATAACGATGAGCAAAAACTGGCTTGGTCCTTCCTGTCATAGAGCTTAGTATAGTTTTGTTTTTTGTGGGGGGAGCCAAGCAATCAGATAATCACAACAATTTACATATAACTGCAACTATGATAACTGCTACAACAAACAGGTGCATGGTACTATTAGAGTATGTAAATAGGCTTCACCTAGAGAGGTCAGAGAAGGCTCTACGACTTAAGCTGAGATCTGAAGGATCTCAGGTAAACAGAAGTTCCAGAATGAGGAAACAGCACATCAAAAGACTGACGGAAGGAGAAAACACGGTACATTTAAGAAATCTAAAACAAAGACAGTACGGCTGGAACAGAGTAAAGGAATCTACGGTGCAAGACAAGGGTAGGCCTTGAAGACGATGTAAAAGAACTCTATCTTTAACAAAGAATAATGAGAAGTTGATTAAATGTTTTGAGAAACAGGGACAAAATTAGATTTTCACTTAAAAAAAAAAAAATCACTCTGGCTGTAGTTAAGGACGGGCTGGAGGTGAACAAGAGTAGATTCCAGGAGGCCAATTAGGAGGCTCTTGCAGGAGTGAAAGCGAAAACATGACAGCCTGACTAAGGTGGTAGAAGTTAAGATGGAGAAGGATTCAAGAAGTATTTAGGAGGTAAAAAAAACGGCAGAATGGTGATGAAGACAATCTGCTACCGTTGTGGTGGTAATCTTTTCATGTACATATTTACTTATATAACAAAAAAACCTATTGCTGTCAAGTTGATGCTGACTCATCACAACCCCGTAGGCAGAGAAGAACTGCCCCATAGGGCTTCCAAGGCTATCATATTTACAGAAGCAGACTGCCACATCTCTCCTTCGCAGAGCGGCTGGTGGGTTGGAACCACTGACCTTTTGGTTACCAGCTGAGTGCTTAACCACTGCACCACCAGGGCCCCTTATTTATTCAGATAGCTATCTTTAATTTAACAAAATGAAATTATGCTATATTGATCTTACTTGCTTTTTCTGCTCTTTTATTGCTACATACATATATATAAAATATAAACTGCTATATATATACATACATACATATACACACACACATACAAAATAAATCTTTTCACATCATCAAATGGAATAAACAGCCGCTAATTTTAACATAAGGATACAAAACAGAATATTCCTGTTATATATACATAATTTCAACTCCAGGGCCCTAGCAATGCCAGCAACAAAAATCCACTCCTTAGTGGTAAACACCGGATACTTTTCACAAAGAAATGTTACTCACATCTATAACATATCACACCTCCAATGTCCCCGACAAGTGAATTTAAAAAACAACAGACAAATACACTGAGTGCCTACCTCCGTTTCCTTTTCTTCGATAATATTTACAAGCCCTAAGAAAATGTTTTGTAGTTTGATCAAAAATGGCTCTGGATAAATTGCCCAATCTTCCCATGCTCTGAAGCAGGTCATAACCCTTTGCTAAAATATAAATAGGAAACAAACAAATTATTATTGTAGGACAATAGGTGTCAAACATCAGTCCATACGAAGTACCATCATTATTTGCTCTATTTTCTTATAAAAACTGACATTCTGTATAAAATTTAGGCAAAGAAAATTATTACATATCACTATCATAACTTAAAAAAATCAATGTTATCTTCCAACTAAAAGAAAAGCAGCAGCCCTAAAAAATAAATGTGTTTATAAAATAATGTTTTGTAAGTATAATGAAAAGGAAACAGTAACTGTTTGCTACTGACCAATTAAAGTCAACTCCCACACCACTGCTGGTCCCTAAGGCCACATTCGAGGAGACACTACTACAGAAAATTATAAAAGTTGGAAATCAATGTAGTCAAATTTTGACCGGAATCCCTTACGGCCCAATAAACTACTTTCTAATTCTAGCTAATACTTTTCTCTAAGTTCTGATTTATGGTCTAAAATAAAGTGAAGTTGTTTGAGTCCCCTAAATGGTGGGGGTCACTGGGAATCTTCCCAGACTAAAATATTTCCCTAACAAAAAGTCTTCTTCCTATGAAAGTATAAGTAAAGTATTTTGTTTGGCTTTTGTTAAAGTTGGTCTACATCTTAGGAGATTAAAAAATTAATTACTAAATCTACTTTGTAAAACAAAACCAAACCCACTGCTGTCATAAATACTAAAATATATGTTCCCTAATCCAGCCAGATTATATACACCATTACAAAACAAATGACCTTCTGAATGCATTCTATGAAAGAAGGCTAATGTTTAAAATATTTAAAGGAAAACACCAAAACTGAATACCGGGGGAAAAAAAAAAAAAACTCATCAATATACTTTTAAATTTCTGACATTTTTGACATTGAAGGTAAAGTTACTGGTAGTAGAATTTTAAAGCAATATTCTCTAAAACACCTACGTTTTAAATTACCATCATACACTTGCGTTATGTACTTTTCTAGCCCTCCAATGCGCTCCGCCTGCACGACCATCCCACTACTCTCCCCACCCTTTTAAAACACTAGGGCAAACGGACACAGGGAACCTGGGGTGGAAACGGGGAGAGTGCTGTCACACTGTGGGGATTGCAACCAATGTCACAAAACAACACGTGTATAGATTTTTGAATGAGAAATTAACTTGAGCTGTAAACTTTCACAAAAAGCACAATTCAAAAAAGAAACCACTAGGGCGAAAATAGTAAAATAATGACATACCTTAAAGTTTTCAGACTGCAAATGGCCTTGAATTGTACGATAGGTAGCATTCAGGTCTGAAAATATCTGACATAACTTTGTTTCAAAACTGAAATTCAAATAATACATTCTTTAAAAGAGAACTTAACAGTCCCTAACCACTTCAACATGTTAGCCGATGAAAACCTCTCTTAGACTTAAAATATTTGGGAAATAATCAAGCAATTTCAAGAAGTCTAAAAACATAACTGAACTGCTTAACTCTATTATTACTCAGAACTTTTCTGCAGTAAATCTCCCAAGAGTCCTAATAGACTAGTTCCCTTTATTAGCAAGGAATTTTTCACTGAGAATCCTTTCAGCCATCTAGGTGTGCTTTGTTATAGAAAATAAAAAAGCTTAGAAAAGTTAAGCAACTTGCCTAAGAAAAAGAAACTAATGGCAGAGCTAAGATTAGAACCTGGTCTCCAAATTTCCTTTCAGAACACCAGACATCATCAGTTTCTAGAGAACAGCTTCCTTGAGCCTAATTTATAAATTAAACATGAAGGGGAACTCTAGAGAACTAAGGAAGAGTTAATATATTTACAGTACAGCAACATAATTTCTTACTACCTTAGAAAATTAACAATGAATTACAATCAGTACAATGATGATCAGAAGAGAATACCGCTGCTATAGTTAATATTACGCCTTTAGTTTTTTCCTTTGTGCTTGCCATTATTTGTATTGCTAACTTGTAATGAAAATGGTTAAATATACAATAAAAATTAAATTATTTTTTAATTCCGCCTGTTTGTTTCATTGTAAAGAAACTGATATGAAATGAAAACTTTCAAACAGCTCTGATGATTTATTACACAGTGGTTTACAGTTCAATGAATACAATCAAATTTTTTTTTTAATCCTACCAACCAAGAAGAAATTCAAATTATCTTATTATTGGGAAGGGGGAGGTGTATTAATTGACAAAACAATCCTCTTTTTCTGAATTCCTTATCTTTAAATACTTTATTTCAGGATTATCGGTTTAAAGTATTATACTTACAATTTTCTGTAATAAGAAGCATTGGCGACTTTGGCTGAAGAGTTGTACAAAACATCAGAAACCAAATATAATCTGGCAATCTATAATACCAGAAATATAACACAAAGCAGATTAAAAATGGTTGTATACTTGAAATAAAAATCTACACAAAAATATTTATTACAGCTTTATTCAGAATTGCCAAATCTTGGAAGCAACTAAGATGTCCTTCAATAGGTGAATGGACAAACAAATTGGTACATCCATACAATGGAGTATTACTCAGCAATAAAAAGTAATTAGCTATTAAGCTACAAAAAGACATGGAGGAACTGTAAATATTGCTAAGTGAACGAAGCTACGTAGGGAATGATTCCAACTTAAATGACATTCCAGGAAAGACAAAAGTATACAGACAGTGAAAAATCAGTGGTTGTCAGGGGTTAAGGAAGAGAGGGGAGGATGAACAGGCAGAGCACAGAGCATTTTAAGGGCAGTGAAACTAGACTGTATAATACTGTAATGGTGGATACATGACATAATGGATTTGTCAGAACTGTACAACACAGAGTAAACCCTAGTGTAAACTATGGACTTTGGTTAATAATAGCATATCAATACTGGCTCATTGATTGTAACAAATGTACCACACTAATGCAAGATGTTAATAAGAGAAACTAGAGCGGAAGGGGTGGATATAGAGGAACTCTGTCCTTTCTGTATAACTTTTCTGTAAACCTAAAACTACTCTTTTAAAAAAAAAAAACTATTTAAAAAATCCTTAGTCGATATCTAGAAAAAATTCTGTACTGTCATTTCTTGGAATCAGGGGCATAAGTCTACCATTTCGCTGTATTTTAATAACTGTTACTAATTAGAAAAGTTATGAGAAATTCAACAGCACCACAACCAGGATAAACTTTGTGGCTCATTTACCTTTCACCCTGTTGCTAACCTGCACATCAATGAACATAACAAGGTTCTCAGGCAGAAGGAAAGTAAGACTGCATGGGAAAGATTTCTTCCCATCAAGATCTTCACGCAAAAGGCAAACCATTTCCGATACAAAAAGAAGCCAACTATTATCTCACCTTTACTGAAACATTCATAAAAAGAAATCATTCCCATACCTTTTTAGGAAGGGGTGTCTTTAAGATGGACAATGACTCAGTAATGCAATCCACTATTTCTTCAGCAGCTTCAGCATTATTAAGACAGAAAACCATTGCATCTCCAATATCATTTTTCCTTGGAGTTAATCCCCGTAAGATTTCTTCTAACTTATCCCTCTGTCTGAATACAAATATTTTTAACTTATACTTTACAGACACAAATTTCAAATGACATAGCTTCTGTTTATAAACTAATTTCCTTAAAACTCACCCAAAGGACTTGAATACATATTTCTAAAAAGAGCTACGAACGGCCAATAAGCACATGGAAAAAATTATAGGTATTTTTCAAGCGTCTCTGAGTGCCCCAGCCCTATTATTCCATTACACTGAAGAAGAACCTTCATGTTCTTTACTCCGCTTCTTTGAAAGAAGCCTCTTTCTTTAGCACTTCAGCATGGGATTAGGACAGCCTAAAATAGGGGCTGGCAAACATTTCCTGTAAAGCACGATGCAGTAAGTATTTTAGGCTTTGCAGGTTATAAGGTATCTGTCACAATACTCAACTGTGCTGTTGTAGTAACAAAGCAAACAAAGACAACATGTAAAGGAATGGGCATGGATGTGTTCCAATAATACTTTTATTTATAAAAACAGGCAGCAGCCAGATTTGTCCCGTGGGCTGATATTGCCGACTTCTGGGGTAAAATAACGACAAACATATATCTTCAGAACCATATTCTCAAATAATTACTACAGTCCTCCACTCCCTAACGATCTCACAAAAAATGCACTCATGCAACAAAAATTAATATTTTTAGACTAGGCAGTAAAACATATAATCCTATGTGCTAAAAATTATTTTACTCAGCTTTTCCCATATGGTATACAGAACTTCCTCTGAACATTTAATAGCTAACTTTGTTCCTGCTACTTAAAACAAAACCATGGCAGTTCTGATTGAGTGCTAATAACAGCACAGACTTCCATGATGGTCACCTAACAACTCACCACATACTGACAAACTCTGTGGAGGGGCTTTGCATAGCCAACCATCTGACCTACTAACCATACAATAACTTAACCTCTTTATGTTGTATTCCAAGAGGCAAGAATTCTGAGGTCCCTAGATAATTTCTGTGAGACTCTATAGTGTTCCAATGCTGGAGAAAGAAGTCAACCTTTAAGAGATTATCAGTAATTTTTTCAGTAACAAGACGTCAAGGTCAACGGCATCCACAGATGTCTTTGCCAAGATGTGTTTGTTTAAAATTACATGGCATACGATGAAAAATGTTAACATTTTAAATATTTACAAGTGAAAAAACCATTTTATTTTAGGTTACCATCTCTAGAAAGACCATTGTAAGAGCATGTGACTTTTCTGAATGTATAACAGAAAAGGAAAAAAAAATCTTACTCTTCCTTAAGTGCTCCCTTTTTACTAGGCTCCTCAACAAAAGCTTCTGTTTCTTGCTCTTCTGACATCCCATGCAGGTATGGATTTAACGGTGGTGGCCTCCAAAAAGATCCATTTTTGAACATTCGAAAATCTTCTGTCCTCCACTTAGTTGGAGAATCCCCCTAATAAAAGTCCAGAAAGTTATTAGAAAGGTCTAACAACTCAGAGTCAAAATTAACAAAGTAATTGACTTTACTTGCCTGCAGAATAGAATAAAGCTTCCACCTATAGTAAACATGGGCTGGTGTCTGATTTTCAAATAAGAACCTTAAACAAAAAGGGAAAAATACGTTAAACATCACATTTTTTAACTAAGAGCTATCCTCAAGTAAATATTAACAAATGCGAACTGTCTGTCTAATTAGTTCTAAATAAAACTGAAAGTAAAGATCCCAGAAGAGAATCTTCACCCCACTGCTACCAGCCACCCCCTCCAATCCAGCCCCAAAGTGCTTTCCTGTCTTAGTGACTGACATTAATACTCAGAAGGGCTTCATGCAACTTGCCAAGCCTTAAAACCACCTTTATGGAACGCTATGTGTCAGATACTATGTCTGGCAATGGAGGAATTTTCATAACATACAATTTCAAAAGCAGTGATTTTACACTACACTTCAGTAAAAATGGAAACCCTGGTGGCGCTGTGGTTAAGAGCTATGGCTGCTAACCAAAAGGGCAGCAGTTTGAATCCACCAACCACTCCTTGGAAACCCTATAAGGCAGTTCTACCCTGTCCTATATGGTTGCTATGAGTCAGAATTGACTCGATGGCAAGAGGTTTGGTTTTCTGGTTGAAATAAAAGTGTCAGTTTCTTAGACAAAATTCAGAAGATGAGCAAATTCCTTTAAACCTCGTTTGTTTCAGTATATCTACTTATGAAAGATTTATTTTTGAAAGGTATAATGAGAAGTAATTTCCTCCTAAAGAATGCTGAAAACAAATGCCATTTAATTAGCTACATCAAAATCACTTGGAAAATCAACCCGAGCACTTTTGAATCTAATTACTAAAATTGCCTTTTCACACTATTACAAAAATAACCCCATACTTTTTAGAACTTTATTCTTGGAAATATTTTTTAATTTCAAAGAATAAGTTAAAAGTAGTTTTAAAATGCACACCTGAACATAGGATTGTTGATTTCTCTGTTCATAATCATAGCTTCAAACATTGGCCCTTCACGTACAACAAACTCTATCATGCGATGTATCAGGGCGAGCAAATTCCTACAACAACAACACAGTTAAAGAAAATGGATTCAGACCTACCACTATATAAAACTACACTTGATCTAAGTTACTATAATTGTGCAGGAAAAGATTATTTTGCTGACTAATACAGAATTTTAAACAAAAAAGTAACCTGGAGCATATGTTAAAGCCTTGTGCATTAGGAGGGACAGGGCGGTGGGGGCAGGGGAGTGGGAAGGGAAGGAAAAGTGAAGGGAGGGTGGGAAACCACAATACAGCCTCACAGTAGTAAAGGTCTAATTTTCTAAATGCCACTTAATTTTATTTTCCAAATGCAAAACATTAAATTATGAATTACAACTAACTGGAAAGCAGTAAATACATAAAATCAGTACCTTAGAGCTTATTATCATAGCCATCTAAAACCTTATATACTATCTGTTTTAAAAGAAAATATCCCTAAAACAGGAACTTCTGAGGAGGTACTGAAATGTTATAACCATGACTATTATTTATAAAAATGCAAAACTAGAAGTTTAAGGCCTGACTTAATAAAAAATCCATCTCATTCCTATGCTTCTCTGGTACACATACACCATATGGAGTTTTTATTGAATCTGACCTTTAATGAGGCAACATCCCTTCGGATCACACTTCAAACTACTTCATACAATTCCTAAAATGTATAATTCTCCCCGTATATTAATTATGAGTCAATGAAGCAATTATAGTGCCAAAGCCTTAAATGAATGGAGTCTTACTCTGTCCAAATATTCCAAAATATGGACATGGTGAGATGTCCTCCCCATGTTCCATAACAATTATTTTCTGATAATTAAGCCAAAAATAAACATTTGTGAGTAATTTTTTAGTGCAATTATTTTATCGGTTGGGCTCAGAGAAAGCCTTTATTTTTAAACTCTGATAAACTCTGACGCTGGGTGCTAAAATCATGTGATGTTAGACTCCAAACACAATTTTAGACACTGATTATGTCTGCGGACAAAAATGACTCTGTTTATTATAAGCTGCTTTTGACTTCTCATTTCACCAGTCCCCCAGCATACAGAGTTGGCAAATAACAATCGGGAAAAGCAAAAGGATATTGGCTCTTCGTACAAGGCACACACTAAATTACACCTTTAGCATTCCCAGCTCAAATTGAGTTCATGTAAACGTTAGAATATAAATAAATATACGGTTATAAAACAAGACAGATTTTTTCATTTGGCTCTATAATGCCCTGCTTCAGAGTACATGATAAAATAATTTATCTTATGGTAATTATAACTATTCTCTCACAGTTTTCAAATAAACCTACTTAAGTGGACACTAAAATCTCTACATAGTAAAAAAAAAATTAAGCCTAAAGGAGGTCAAAAAAATTATATGATGATTTAAATCTTTACTAATGGGAACTATACATTTAAAACTATTACTTCAACCTCAAGATGTTAAAAGACCAAAAGCATCACTTAATTTTAAATCTAAAAATTTCTTTCACAAAGTATTAAATGTTCTGCAAACATGCAGCTGATATTCAAATGAGAATGTATTCTCAGTACCCATAAAGCTACTGACATTATTTTGAAGGAAGGGAGATAATGTAAAGTTATGATTCAGTTCCAAGGCCCCTACTAATATGAGCCAAATTAAAGCTAAGGGAAATTTTATGTTATTATCATAATATATAAAACCAAATGGGTAAATGCTATACATCCAGAAACTTGTAGGAATTAAGTCAAAAGCAACTTGACTTCAGCATTAAAGACAGAGGAAAAATGGTTATCAAGTTTAAAACAAGATTTTACAGCAAAATGTATATTCAACTAAAATTTTGTTTATAAATAAGCTGAGCCACATGTAAAACTACTGGATATATTCTTTTTGAATGCTGTAAAATTACTTTCCTGTGACTGCTTTATCAGTGGAAAAAAAAAAAAAAAACCCACTACAGTTTTAAATAGGCTTGTAACTGATAAAATCTATTCTTAGAAAATTGTTTAAAAAAGTTTTAAAATGTTTCATACGATTATTTAAAATCAAAATCTGACAATTTGTTGTTGCTAATTTGAATTCAAGACTAAAGAACTGTAATCATACTTTTTCCCTAAGGATTGTGTGTTTAACTTCTTATTTAAAAAACAGTGGCTATTTTATATCAGAATGAAACAGTGTAGTACAAAAAGATGATCTATTTTAAAGTGCATTATTTTAAAACGGCAATTATCTTATTCTGGGCAACAAAAAAAAAATTTCTCTCACTTATAATAAAACCACATTTATTGGAGTCAATCGTACCAATGTCTGGTCAAAAACTGTATACTTTCCCAATCCATCCCATGATGTTTTCCTGGTCCCCCGCTGCCGCAGACAGTTCAGCTGGTGTTGCTCACCAAGGCCAATGTCAAAGAGAATTTGGTATTCTTCTGTGTTCATTTATTATTCAACCAGTGTTGTGTTCCAGTGTTTGGGAAAAGGCTTAGCTTGACTGAGCAAGAGCATACCTAGAGCATGAATTCTTCTCCTTTAACATTATGTTTTAAAAAAGGGAAAATAAAAAAAATTCCAAATATCTTTGTCATCATGAAAAAAAGCTTGTAGTATGTCCAGTGCTCATGAAAATGATCGGAATTTCTTCTTAATATCAATTAGGAAAAAAACAAAGCTATGTCTTCAGTACAGGGAACTCAAATCAAGGCTGTATATTAAATGTACATAATTCAGAAACCAAGAAAAAATAACAGTTTGGGACAAACTGTAACACTATCTAGAATTTAAGATACATTTAAAACACCTATCTTCCCATTACAATAGTCTAATATTATTTGACCAACAACACCAGATTAAATCTATTAAACACATTCTAATACTAAAGGAATAAGATTCTCCACACTGACAAAAATAAAAACAAAAAAATAGTGACATAAAATTACAAAGTATACTAAAGTTAGTTAAATTTCACATATCCCCCCAAAAAGTACTGGGAAGGAACCATTGCTCAGTCAAGATATTACCTTTTCCTCAACACCACTTTTTTTAATTCAGAAGGGGATATTGTCTATATTTAGATCAGTAATAATAAAGAAAAACATGTACCTTTCTGTTGGGATAACCACTTTGACTATGGCTTGCGACAGAGTCTGTATATGAAGTCACATCAGATAATAAACATAGAATATGTGAGTATTGTTAACAAGTAACAAGCAAAAATATACATATGCATTGAAAATACTACACATCTAATCACAAGTTTTGCAGGCAATCACTGCATTTGAAGTAATTATACACTAAGCAATTACATAAATGCAAATGGATGTGTTCAGTGAACAATAAGTGTTCACCAAATGCAAAGAATCAGAACATTCCTGCCAGAATGCACATCAATGCACTGAAATAGGTACTACACTGAGAATTATCAGATAAAGATTTTAATTTGTGAAATAATTAACTGTTTGTCTCTGACCATACAGTTCACTACTTTGTTCCCAAGCCTTTAAAACCAGCCCTGTCATTTTAAGTGTAATTAATTCATAAGAGAACCAACAAATTCTTGTAACTGGAAATTAAGTTGGTTTTATGTTTAATAAAAAGAAAATACTCACCCTTGGCTTTTACTAGCGTAGTTAACTATTTTTTAAAAACCACATATGCTATCAAATATTCTAATACCTCAGATCTTGTGAACTACGTTGGCAAGCTGCCATCCAAACAGTTTAACTATTTAGGAAGTCTTCCTAATTGAAAAGTCATTTAATCAACTATAAATTATCACTTTCTCAGAACAAAGTAAATTTAGATACTGCACTTAAACAAACCTGGATACAACAGTGGACCAAGGAAAAAAAAACTTAACGAGTGGTCAAAAAAGGAATGGTAGCCACAAATAAAAATATGACCCCATATTTCAATACAGGGATTCCACTGGCTAAGGCAGGGAACACATCTACTTATTTTTTTAAGAGTTGCCAAACAGAATTACACACATATTTTCTATAAAATTGTCGAAAAGAACTACTACCACAGATTTAGTATTTACAAATTAGATGTCGCCCTATATATTTTTTTAATTACCTTCTCAAAATCCTCCTTGTTTTTAGGTGGTGGTAACATGGGAGCATTGGGGTTCTTTAATCGCTCTCTAGGCTGCGCATTAAAAGGCAGTCCTGATGGAGGTGGGGGAAGCGTATGTTCCATCATAGAAGGTGGAATGTATATTGGATGTGGAGGAATAGGTACAGCTTTACCCCAACCTAATTTCATTTCAAAAGACATAATCATCTTTCCTAAAGAAAGAAAAGAAAGGTCATTTTGGCAACTCTCGGAAGAAAATAAAAATTTTTAAGTGAATTAATTTTCATTTTCAGCCTTTTCATTTCTGATACATTCTCTCCCCTGGAGTTTTTATAAGCTTTCCAGAACCAACAAAAATCTGAATTCTATAAATGGATGATAAATTTCTTACCATTTAAATTTTTTAAAGCTCTTTCAGCATCTCTTCTATTCATAAATGCCACAAAGCCACAATTTCTCTCTCTTGCTCTTTCTTCATCAGTTCTAGGCCACATAATTTTCACACTGGCTAATGGTCCAAATCTTCCAAATTCTTGGCATAGCATTTCTTCATTCATCTATACGAAAGAATAAGAGTTTTTTGGCATGCAAAAACAGAAATGAAAAAAAAAAATTCTATGCAACAGAAAGCAAAGTAGCTTTTGCAAAATGACAAAAAAAGTTATTAATGCTACGATTTTCTATTCGAGTACTAAGAACTTTTAAGAACTCTGCATAGGTAAAAACTTCTGTTTTACTTTAAGAAGTGACCAGGGCGTGGGGTTGTTAACCACTGTCATAGGGCAATATGTGTGCTAACTGTTTAATAAGAAACTATTTGTTCTGCAAACCTTCACCTAAGCTACAAAAAAAAAAAAAAAGAATTATCTATGTGAGATCAAATTGACAACAGCAACTCAAAAGGTCTGATGGGAAGCCTAGAGGGCAGTGAGTTGAAGATAATGGTGATGGAATAATTTGGAAAAGGATAGTAAGAATAGCAGCACAACTGGAAGAATGTAATCGATGTCACTGAATTGTACATGTAGAAACTTTTGAAATGGTGTAACTCTGGCTACATATTATTTTCACCAAAAAAAAAAGTCCTCCAAGGTCGAGAAGGAAGAGTGTTGACATCCCGTGGGGTTGTTAATCAATATCATAAAACAATGTGTACTGACTGTTTAATAAGAAACTATTTGTTCTGTAAACCTTCATCTAAAGTACGATAAAAAAAAAAAAGAAGTGACCACGGGTGAAAAGGCCTAGTTGCTAGAGAACTCAAAACTATACCTTTATCTTCCCCTTTCTACTTTTAAGATTCTCGATCTCATAAATAAGCTGTTCCTCAGCAGTGGTTAATTTGGAGATTTAGCAACACTTTCCAGGCAGGTGTGGTTAGCACATTTAAGGAAAAAATATTTGCTGGTTATGAAAGTTAAAAAAAGGATCTCATCGCTTTTTGTTTTTCAAGCACCCAACTCCTATAATCCAAAACAGAGAACACCGAAACGGCAAATATGCAATAAGGTCCAAAATATACACAATTTTTAAAAGCACATATTATATAGGACAAACACTACATCTTCATAACACAATTAGCAACACTGTAGTGGGGAAAAAAGTAAATATAAAAAAACAAAAGCACGAATACTAGTTTGCTTTTACAAAGAGAAAAAAGAAGAAGAAATTCCATAAGGAAGAAGCTGTGCATCAGAAAGGGGTAGTCTCAAAAGAATATTTCCCAGCACCAGACATATCCTGATTTGTTAAACACAATTATAATAAAATCAACATTTAGTAAAGCATTTCAAATTCAGAGTAGGCCAAAGAAAAAAAATAAGCCCTTAAGAAACTGTAGTAAGATAATACGGCCCATACCAGTTAAGGCTGAAGTTTATAATTTTAGATACTATCTAGTTCCACCAGATACATTAACTTGAGATTCTTGATTTTATTTTTTTATTGACTGACAAAGCAGTTTTCTTCCAAAAGTAAAGATGAGCCAAAAATTCATGTTTCTAATATTACCTGTGGATTAATATTTCCAAGGTATAAATTAGTAGTGCTTGGATCTCCTACATCATGTGAGCCAGGTGCATAATCATCAAGAACTAGGGCAAAGAGGGAAAAAAGAAAAATTATAACCTGCGAAATAGAAAGTTTGAACAATTTTGGTTAACTAAAAGAGCAAAAAACTATATTACCACCAGATGATCTATTTCTTCTTGAAGGCGCATCCACTTTAAAAGGAGAAAAGAAAATAATTCTTAGTTTTTACAGAATAATTAAATCACAAATATCCACATTAAAATAAATGTCACTTACTAGAACGACGCTGACCATCAGAATCTGACTGAGGAGGCTCAAACCGGCTTAACCTGCCTTTTGTTTTATGTCTCTCATCACGCTCTTCTTGAATTCTGTTGAAAACATTTAAACTCACTAATAACGGGCCAAAATTTGCTTGTTTCGCCATTTAATAAAAATAGAACTGACCCAGGCACCACCTTCAAATAACTTGAAATATATGTGAGTAATCAAATGCCAGTACTGACAACAACCTACATTAGAGTCCTCAGCTATAAAACAGCCAAGAGCAAATTTCTCCTTTATCATTTTCAAATGGAATATGAAGCTCATTTTTAAGGTGAGAAGGGAATTCATGGTTAAAACCACAGAATTTGTTATTTCTTGGCTAAGTTCCACCACCAACCCCCAAGTGAGTACATTGTTTCCACTGCAAACAGGACTCCGGACATCAGATAAATCAATTTAATTGAATCCACTTAATGCAAACAACCTAGATGCTGGATTAAAGGTTAATTCATTTTCAAAACACACCTCACAAAATATTACTATAATACCTAAAACAACCTCATGGTAAGCTGGTTAGTAATAACTAATTGCTACACTACATTCTTCATACCTGCATCTGTTAAGTATCAGCTCATACCTATGGCAGTTACTCTCCACACTATAAAACTTACTGTTTTAATTCTTCTTTGAAGAGTTCCAAATTGCTTTTTTTCTTTTCTTTCTCCCCCTTCTTCAGTGGCTATGAAGGATATGACAAGTTACACTTTAAACAAAACTAATGGTTCAATAATTAAATCATTTAAAAGTCAGCTTTATTTTAGTGCCATTTTTATGGTCTAATTTCTTTAAATAAAAGAATGCTTCTATTATCATTAAACCTCTCTTCCTGCTTCTCCAAAATAACAACTGATGCTATCTTTAAAATGACAACCATCAGTCTTAAAGTAAAGGAGCCATAACTTTATCCCCCAAAGCCTACAATACTTAGGTCTGAATATTACAGGGGAGGGAGGGTAAACAAAATTAATAACCATAAAGTAACTGAACTGCCATGCAAAGTAACTGTCATGAACAACTACCAAAAATACGTACTCTTCAAAGCAATCACCTTAGAGAATATGAATTACTAAAACAATCAGTAACATCTTTAGAATCCCTCTTTTAAAACTGCTTTCAGAGTTTCAAGACAATTAATGGGAAAAGAACAGTCTTTTCAACAAATACCAAAACCAAACCTACTAGCGTCAAGTAGATTCTGACTAAACCGACCCTACTGGACAGAGTAAAACTGCCCCACAGGGTTTCCAAGGCTGTAATCTTTATGGAAGCAGACTGCCACATCTTTCTCCCATGGAGCCGCTGGTAGGTTCAAACCACCAACCTTTCAGTTAGCAGCCAAGAGCTTAACCACTGCGCCACCAGGGCTCCTTTTCAACAAACAGTGCTAAAAATAGGACAACTGAATACCCAACAAGCAAAAGAATAAAGTTCAACCCCTACTTCACACCATGTGCAAAATTAACTCAAAGTGGAAATTAGACCTAAATGTAAGAGCTAAAACTGCAGAAGTCTTAAAACACAGGAGTAAATCTTCACAACCCTGGATTAGGCAATGGTTCTTGGGTACAACATCAAAATCACAAGAGACAAAAGAAAAAAAAATAGATAAATTAAAGGTTTTGTACTTCACAGGACACCATTAAAAAAATGAAAAGGACAACCCAGAGAATGAGAGAAAACATTTGCAAATCATATAGCTGATAAGGGACTTAGATGAATATATAAAATATGCTTAACAACTCAATAACAAGACAACCCAATTAAAAAATGGGCCATGAATTTGAATAGACGTTTCTCCAAAGAAAATATACAAAAGAACAAGACATGAAAGGATGTTTAAAATCATTAGACACGAGGGAAATGCAAATCAAAATCACAATGAGGTACAATTTCACACTTAAGACTAAACTAAAATAAATTTTATTTTAAAAAAAGGCAGATGTTTCAACAAGTGTTGGCGAAAATGTGCAGAAACTGTAACTCTCATAACATTGCTTGTGGGACTATAAGTTATTGCAGCCACTCTGGAAAACAGCGTGGCAGATCCTCAAAAGGTTAAACGTAACTACCTTAAACAAAAAAACAAACCTGCTACCGTTGAGCCTGTTCCTCAACTCATGGCAATGCCCTATGATACAAAGTAGAACTGAGATCCATAGTTTTCTTGGTTGTAATCTTTATGGAAGATCGCCAGGCCTTTCTTCTGCAGTGATGCTGGGTGGGTCTGAACTGCCAACCAGTCGAGCGCAAACCATTTGCACCACGAGTTACCGTATGACTCAGCAATTCCATTCCTAGGTACACCATATTTTTACACAAATAACACACGTCTTCTACATTTGTTTGCTACCCGTGCCCTCCGCCCCTGAGGTATTTTCATAAGCACTGCTGTGCCAATTTTTCTACATGTTATTATAAAAAAAATTAGCATAGCACACTTATGAAAACACCTCACAGGAGGAGGGCACAGTTGGCAAACAAAGAAGGCGCACATTATTTGCATAAAAATACAGTATATCCAAAAGAATTGAAAACATTATGTCCACATAAAAACCTGTACATGAATGTTCACAGCAGCATTATTCCTAATAGCCAAAAAGTGGAAACCACCCATCAAACCACAAATGAATAAACAAAACGTGATATATGAATAAAACAGACTATAATTCAAACATAAAAAGGAATGAAGTAATGATACATGTTACAACATGGATGAATCTTTTAAAAATTCTGCTAAGTGAAAGAAGCTAGACAAAAAAAGACTGTATGTTGTATGATTTCATCTGTATGAAATCCATAGATAGAGACAGAAAGTAGAGTAGTGGCTTCCAGGGACTGGGAGAAATAGGGAATGACTGCTGATGAGCATGGGGTTTCTTTTTAGGGTGATGAAAATGTTCTAATATGTTCTAAAAATAGACAGAGGTGATTACTGCACAACTCTTTGAATATACTAAAAACCACTTAATTGTACACTTTTATAAGGGCGAATTTTATGGAATGTGAATTTTATCTCAATAAAGCTGTTATTTTAAAAATTGCTTTCAGAGATTTACTTTAAAAGACACACAAGAGAAACTGATCTCCTTATTCAATACAATCATGTATTCACCGAAACTGGCACCAAATGACTTGACTCACATCTGTTTACCATCCCCATAAAAACTTCACCATCAAAGAATAAAATTTTTCTAATACTGAGAATATTTAAAAGAAAGTGCCACTTGTTCTGATGATAATTCCAAAAAAGTTCCAAAAATGTTCTGGGCAAGGGAGACACCACTGGAATACATATATAGTCTTCCAAAGTTAACTCACATTATAGATGGTAATACAGTTTAAATACCTCAGTTTAGAATTGTTTTGGGGGGGCGGGGGAGAAAACTCCATTATTTATATCTAGAATTAGAGTCAATCTTTGACTTATATTAACTGAAATCCCAATTACTAAATAAAAAATACATGTGAAGATATACAAGCTCAGCCTACAGAAACATGCTGTAAGTATAGTAGCAAGATAAGAAGATGCTATGAGTATAGTAACAAATGTCCACTGCTCAAAGAACATGAAAAGAATATTAACTACGTGCCCTATTCTAATTTTATCATCTAAGTAGATTACTGGGTTAGAAAGCATCAAAGTCAACTTCTACCCCCAACAAATTAAAAACAAAAAGCCAAAGTCCTGCTTACAGTGGAAGTACTGAAAGTGTCACTGGCAGCATCATCTCTGAATACGAGTGTAAATTATTCAAGCATGACTTACAGGCTTTTTGGTTTCTATCACAAGAAGAGATGGTGGTCTTTCATTGGATGACTGATTTGGAGGATTTTTTTGATCTGCAAATCTTGAAGATGGCTTATAGATTTTACCTCTTTTTTCGTCTGTTTCATGTTCTTCTGAAATTTAAAATATTAAGTTTCAAAACTAATTTCACATTATTTGGATTTAATTTACTCACTATTTTTACTTAAAAATTAGAAGAATGCTTTTAGTATTTTTATCACTATGACAAAATATAAAGTTAAATTCTAGTATTACTGTACTCCCCTCAAAAAACACTAATCATTTAGAGTAAAATCATGAAATACATTAAAATTTTTGCAAACGCTCTGCAGTCTCCAAACCTGAAAGGTGCAATATTTTTCAAAGTTATCTGGCTCAAATTTCTGATTAATCCATTTTGGCCATTTATTTTGCCAGTTAATATCACCGCTAGAGGGTGTTAACAGAAATGAAATGTGAAACCCAAAAGCAACCAAATTTCTTTTGTTAAGTACCTATTTGCAGTCACTCAATCAAGACTTGGGGTTTGCTCAAAGACGTTATAATATTCATACTTACCTTTAGCTGCATTAACAACACCTCCTCGCACAAATGTTTTCACTTTATTACCATCACTTCCTTCAAAAGCAGCAAGAAATTCCTCATAGATCTCAGCAGCTGCCTTTTCATCCTCCTAAATGTACATTAAGATATTAATCAGCTTATCAAATAAGATAAAACTCACTTTTGTATATATGGTTAAATTCATCAAGAAATAATGCAGATAAAACCTCTCTTCCCAGACTAATGGACCCAACCACCACAGCCTCCACCAAACTAAGTCCAGCACAACTAGATGGTGGCTGGCTACCACCACTGACTGCTCTGACACGGATCACAATAGATGGTCCCAGACAGAGCTGGAGAAAAGTACTGAACAAGATTCTAACTCATAAAAACAGACCAGACTTACTTGTCTGACAGAGACTGGAGACACCCGAGAGTATGGCCCCTGGACACCCTTTTAACTCAGTACTGAAGTCACTCCTGAGGTTCACCCTTCCGCCAAAGATTAGACAGGCTCACAAAACAAGTAATACACGCAGCTAAACCATGTAAACGAGACTAAATGGGCACACCAGTCCAGGGGCAAGGGTGAGAAGGCAGGAGGGGACAGGAAAGCTGGACAAACAGAAATGGTGAACCCAAGGTCAAGAAGGGGAGAGTGTTGACACACCGCAAGGTTGGCAACCAGTATCACAAAACAGTATGTGCATTAATTAATGAGAAACTAATCTGCTCTGTAAACCATCATCTAAAGCAGAATTTAAAAAAAAAAAAACTTCCCTTCCCTGGGGAAAGCAATCCTAATAAGTAGTGATATCTAATCCTTAGTTCAAAAAAAAAAACAAAAAAACAATCCCGCTGCCATTGAGTCGATTCTGACTCAGCAACCCTATAGGACAGAGTAGAATTGTTCCATACCGTTTCCAAAGAGCACCTGGTAGATCTGAACTGCCGACCTTTTGGTTAGCAGCAGAGCTCTTAACCACTGTGCCACCAGAGTGCCAATCTTTAGTAGATATCAGATACTAATTAATATTGAAACTAAGAGAAGCTTTGTTCCTCTACTGGCAATTTGCGGAACAAGAAAAGAATCTACTAAGCATAAGCTGATATGTAAATCTGTTCAGGAACAATTCAAGTGCCAAACTATATGAACACCGACTACAAGAAGATACATTATTCTATTAATGTTTCTGAAGCTTCCAAGGCATGATGATTTAATCTGATTAACAGAAAGGTTTCCTTTTCAAACCACCCAAGACATGAATACAGTATTACATATTGCTCCTCCAATTTCTAAATTTCTACTCTAGACAGATGGTATTTTTTTTTTTAAAAAAAGCTCAGAACTTTGTCATTTTCAATTGTAAGTATTCTAAATATCCCCAAAACATGTATGAATAGAAAAGCCAGTGGAACAAAACAAATAATCCATAAATAAATACAATGGTTGTTGTATGCTGTCAAGTCAATTTCGACTCACAGAACCCCATGTGACAGAGCAGAACTGTCCCTGCCCCACAGAGTTTTCTAGGCTGTTATCTTTAAGGGAGCAGATCACCAGGTCTTTCTTCCACAGAGCTGCTATCAGTCAGCAGCCAAGCATTTAATTATTGCACAACCAGGGCTTCTTAATAAATACAACCACATGTAGAAATTCAGTCTTCAATAAAGGGGCTTCTCACATTAGTGGGGAATAGACAGATTTTTCAAAAAAATGTTAACAGGATAGCTATTTGAAGGAAAAAAATGCATCAATTCATTCAACATACCATACCTCAGAATAAAATGCAAATGAGTCAGATTTACTTTTTTAAAAAAAGAAACCATACAAGTATAGAAGAAAACATAGGAAAATTTCTTTACAACCTGAGAATGGAAAAAAACTTGACTAGAAAACCAGAAACCATAGGGAAAGATAAATGTGATTACACAAAAATAAATAGCTTTCTCATGAAATAAACACCAGAAGAAAATTAAAAGCACAACTGGCAAACTGGCACTATGTATCATAGACAAAGTATTAATATACTTTACATATACTCTAAAAACAGAGATGATGTATTAACTTATATGTAAACAAGCAGACAGTTCACAGAAACAAACACACAAAAAGCTGCTCAACCTCGCTCACAGGAAAAATGCAAATTAAAAACTACACCAAGAACCATTTTTCACCTAACAAACTGGCAAAACGTCTTTCATAACATCCTCTGTTGGCAAGGCTATGGGGAAACCACTACTCATACACTGCTGGTAGGAATGCAAAATCACCCTGCCCCTAAGGAAGGCAAGTGGACAATGTCTAGCAAAACCACATGTATACATTTACCGTTCAACCCAGTAATCTCACTTACAGGAATATTTTCTAAAGACACACTAGCAAAATTACAAAAAAAAAAAAGAAAAACCGCATGCACAACACTACTCTTAACAGCACTATCTATAATGGCAAAAGACCAGACGCAAATGCCCTCAATAGCATTTCAGCTGACAAACTATTACACATCTACACAGCTATTAAAAAAAAAAGAAAAGAAAGAGGAAAATTTCTACATACTGCTATAAAATAATCTGAGATATAACTTTTGGTAAGAAAAAGGCAAGGCCAAGAAAAATGTACTGTAAACAGCATGCTATTGTTAACCTAAGAAAGGGCAATGGAATATGACAAGTGTGTACACATTTGCTTATACCGAAAAAGAATAGACCAGAAAATAACCAAAATTTCTACACAGAAAGGAAGAAAGGAAATAGGGTGAAGGGGGCAGGGACAGAAGCTGGATCCTCTGAATATGCCCCATGTTACAGATTTGACTTGGGGGTGGGAGATGAGGATATCCTGGAGGTCAAGAATCTTTGGGAAACATTTTTCTCCTGCCTACACACTGACTGCCCCCTTAGACACATTCATTTCCAAGGATAATTCAAAATACATTTTAAACATTACCTTTTTCTTTAATTCTTCTTGCTCCTTCTTACTTAGCGTTCGCTTAGCTGTACTCATTTTTCCAATACTGAATGCTTTAAGTTTGTTTTCTAGAAGAGGCTATGAAAAGAAATGAAAAGCATACCTTTAAATATACATTCTTAATGCTATCTGTAACTTTAATACACCTCAACTGATTACCAAGTCTTCAGAATAGGTGGCTTGTTTTAAAAAATGTTCACTATAAAGAAGCAGAGCTGGCACTACTCTAGGCATCAGCCAGTGCTTTGGGCTTGATTTTGATATAAGTATTCATTAAAGAATGTCTCTGTTAGCTCAAGATCAGTAACATGCAAAGGCCATTTTTTTAAAAAAAAGGTAAAAAAATATATCAGAGAGCTAGTCTTAGAACTCATGCAACCCATTTGTTGGCTGTAAGAATAAAAGCACTTGAGGGAAAGTACAGATGTTTCCGAGCAAAAGAAACAGTGCTAGAAAAGAGACACTCCAGTAGGGAGAGGGAGGCACAATTTCCACGATCCAGTAGCAGGAATCTGAACACCATCTGTTAACTTCCATTCCAGATACCAGAAATGGCATCACTTCCTTGCATAATTCAGTAAATTGCCTCATTCTTCATCAACGGTATCAATATTTACGAGCATAAAAATTTCATTTTCTTCACTGGGAATGTATCACCTACAGTATTTTAGGTTTCAGTTTAAGTAAACCTACACCGATTAACTTTGAATATAAGAAAATAGTGTTTTAATGAACTCTTCATTTATGTACGTTAGAAGCAATTTCCCTCTAAAACATGACCTGAGTAAACTGTTTAATCAGCTATTCACTTGAATGTTATGATTTTGATTCATAAATTTAAAAGAGAGGAATGTTTACTAAATACAACATAAAGTATTAATCTGTAATTGAAATCTCAAAGTTTCTCTCTGCTCCTGCTAAAAGAAGTTATCCAATTACAAAATTAGGATCTGTTAATGCCCTCATAATTAAATGAGCTTGCCCTTGGAAGATGCTGAATGGAAGATTAATATTGCTACAAATAATTTTAAAGTTATATTAAGATACGATTGAGAAAAAATAAAGCAGTTTATAACCCAAAAGTCAACACTGGGTTTCAAGAACAGATTCAAAGTAAATTTTTCCCATAATAGGAAAAAAAAAAAAAAAAGCCATCATCAACATCTTTAGTTTCAACTTCAAAAATTGTAAAATTACATATAAATACAATAACAAGGATAATTTTGCAAACAGAATTTCTATTCTCAAACTTTATTTATATCCTAAGAGCTAAATTTAGGTAGACAGTTAAGGAAATTATGGAATGTTCACTCAAAGGAATGCAATCATCCATTAAAAGTATGTTTGCAGCATTTTTGCTAAAACGGAAAAAGAAGTAGAACTGAAAACAGGGTATTTTAAAATATCTTTCTGTAAAATGGATCTGAGAAAAATAAAAAAATATTTAGGCTTAGAAATATTACACAAGAAAATTAAAAAAAAGTACTAGTGGTATTATTGGCTGTTGATGATTGTGTTCTTTGTGTATATTTTCCAAATTTAATCACATGAAAAAAATGTTTTGAAATAGAAAAAGACTGAAAGAGCACAGATCACCTTACAGATGCATGATAAGAAAGCTCCTTCTCTATATTCCCACAATGCCCTAGGCACTACTGGAGAGAAGAGCACCTGCTTATGTCCGCTGCCCAGGGCTACACTATAAGCTCTCTTGGACCAAGAACTGTGTTTTAATCATCCATGTATTTCCACTGATTAATATCTGGCACTTGGTTCAGTAAATGTTTAATGAAAAGGAGGAAAGATAGTGATCATCAATTGTTTTACATCCAATATCCTCCTTTGTTTTTTAAATAAAATTAAAAATGTTAAATGAAACATATTTCACATACGAGCTGAAAAACATTTCCTTACATGAACCTGAATTTATCATTAACCCTTTATAAAACAGAATACAATAAAGAATGTTATAATTAGTACACTTCCAAATAGTACAAGATGAAACAACAAGTACAAAACTGAGATATTCAACCACTACAATCAAGGACAGGTTAAAATCACTCACTGTCTTTTTTTATCTTTATCAACACTCACCCTTGAGAGATTCTGATGGGGAGAATCACAGAGGTTTTCACGGGTACTTTCATTCCTATAATTATGTTTTCTGGGGCTCTTAGGTCGTGTTCGACTTGGCAGATCACTATCTGAGGGTCCAGATGAATCCATCTTCAGAAAAAGTAAAACAAGTTTTTAAAAAAATCAATATATAGCACTGAAAACTAGAAATAGTCCAAATATCCAAATGTTGGCAAATTCATTATACACTATCAAAAATATATCCCTAAAATAATACACCACGACCAAGTAGGATTCATACCAGGTATGCAAGGATGGTTCAACATTAGAAAATCAATCAACGTAATCCACCACATAAATAAAAGGAAAGAAAAGAATCACATGATCATCTCAATTGACGCAGAAAAGGCATTTGACAAAGTCCAACACCCATTCCTGATAAAAACTCTCAATCAAAAAGGTATAGAAGGGAAATTTCTCAACACAATAAAGGGCATCTATGCAAAACCAACAGCCAACATCATTCTTAATGGAGAGAGGCTGAAAACACTCCCCTTGAAAACAGGAACAAGACAAGGATGCCCTTTATCACCACTCCTATTGAACATTGTGCTGGAAGTTCTAGCGAAATAAGGCAAGAAAAAGAAATAAAGGGCATCCAAATTGGTAATGAAGAAGTTAAACTGTCCCTGTTTGCAGATGATATGATACTATACACAGAAAACCCTAAAGACTCCACGAGAAATCTACCGGAACGAACAGAAAGATTCAGCAGTGTAGCAGGATACAAGATAAACATTCAAAAATCAGTTGGATTCCTATACACCAATAAGCAGAACAAAAAAAGGAAATCAATCAACAATTTTACCCACCAACTGCTTCTGCACCTCAGTGCAAATGTCAACACAACGAAAAAGGCAAATAATGTCTTAACATCACCGCAACAGAACCCTGGTGGAGCAGTGGTTAAGAGCTATGCTGCTAACCAAAAGGTCAGCAGTTCAAATCCATCAGTCGCTCCTTAAAAACCCTATGGGGCAATTTCACTTTGCCCAACAGGGTCGCTATGAGTCAGAATCAACCCAACAGCAATGGGTTTTTGTTTTTTTTTTTTTTGGTTACCATTGCAAAAATAGTGTTGAACTCGCAGGCCCTCTGAAAGATTCTCAAAGACCCTCAAGGATCTGAGGATCACTTTGAGCACTACTATTTAATAACATGAATATTTAATGCAGTGCTATTCAAAATGTCAAAAAGCTTTAAACAAAAACTATGTGCCGTGCTCATTTAGGCAGCACATATACTAAAATTAGAACAATATAGATTAACATGGCCCCAATGCAAGGATAACATGCAAATTTGTGGGAAAAAAGTCTATGCTCATCAAAAGAAAACAGCTAAATAAATAATTGTACCTTCCCACCACGGAACATTACGGTGCCATTCAAAAGAATAGAGGCAGGGCCAAGATGGCAGAGTAGTAAGACACTTCTGGTGGACCCTCTTACAACAAAGACTTAAAGAAACAAGAGATTCGATTATATATGGCAATGTGGGAGCACTGAACATCAAAGGCGGAGTTGAGAAACTGGACTGAGGGGCAGAGGGAGGGAAAGATGGTTCAGAAGGAGCAAGGAGTTGCCAGACCTGACCCGGCAAGAGCCTGAGTCCTTGAGGTCTGATCAGCTCAGGGGTGAGCAGTGAGGCAGGCAAGCAACCATACTCAGAAGGCGCGTTTTCCGCACCGGGAGAGACCCAGCACCAGAGATTCTACACAGCCACCCAGAAGCAGTGAGAAGCAGCCCTCCACGAAAGATAAGTACTTGCATACAACTAACTGCGCGGATCAAAAACAACCCTCTGAGGGAAAAACCTCTCTCCCATTTACCTCCCCGCTCCCTGCTCTGCACTGAGTCCCTGAACGGCTTCAGCAATTGCCCAGTCCCCTGGGCCAGAAGTAGGATCCATCACACGCCCTGAGCCATTATCCCTGGATTGGAGACTGAACAAATTAACAAACGGGAAAAAATAAACTGCTGGCTCCCCCAAGCCAAGATCCCAGGGTAGGCACAGGTCCTTTGCCTAGGCACAGGCCTAAGGGACCCATGGACTTTGAGTGCCTTTCCCCCTGCATAGACTTTCTGTGGGCCCATCTCAACAGCGTAGGCCCTCGTTACCGTAGTACAACAGGGCATATACTGGACCTCTAACTTCAACTGTCTGAGCTGTGAAGTGGCAGGTTCTTGACATTTGACACTGCTCTGCCCATTAAGCAGGGTCTTCACCTACCGACATCAGGGCCCTGAGGACTGGTGGCTCCACCCACACCACCTAGCCACCTGCAAGAGGGGCCCATGAATAACAGGTGCCCCACAGTCCTTACAACCAACAGCATTAGGTGCTTACATTCTGGCCGCAAAACTCACCCACCTACGGGCTATAGGGAACAGGGACACACCTTTTTCCTGGACACTTGGGGATGGCCATCAGCCCCCTGCCTTGCTCAGAGTGTGTCCCCCTGCTGCAGCCAGGTACCTGTGCCTACACCAATCACCCATGCCTGTCTAGGACTGTAGGTGAGACCCTATACCACACTCGTGGTGACTATCTACCTGGGCACCTGAGCCGAATCCATACAGGAGGAGTGGGCGGACTCCTGAGCTCACATACCTAGTAACAGATCTAACCACCTGGTGACAGGATATTAGCGCTTCAAAGGTGCCAATAATCAAACAAGCTTATACGAGCGGCCTATTTGGGCATATCAAAACAAAACAAGAAGCTAGGACACAGTAAGCAAACATAAAATAAATAAATACAATCACTTATTGACGGCTTGGAGACAACAGTCAATATCAAATCACATAAGAAGGCAGTCCATGATGGTTTCAGCAAGCTCCCAAAATAATCTAGAAATTTTCCAGAAGAGGAAAATTTCTTGGAATTACCAGAGGCAGAATACAAAAGATTAACATACAGAACGCTTCAAGAAATTAGGAAGGAAATTAAGCAAAACACAGAACATGCAATAGAGGAAATTAAAAAGATTAGAGAAGAGCATAATGACAAATTAAACAGACTGCAAGAATCCATAGAGAAACAGTAATCAGAAACCCAGAAAGTTAACAATAAAATGTCAGAATTAGACAACTCAATAGAAAGTCACAGGAGCAAAACTGAGGCAATAAAGTCAATAAAGTCAGAATTACCAAGACTGAAGATAAAGCACTTAACACCAACTTATTTGAGGAAAATTCAGATAAAAGGATGAAAAAAAATGAAGAAACCCTAAGAATTATGTGGGACTCTATCAAGAGGAATAACCTACGAGTGATTGGAGTACCAGAACAGGGGGGAGTAACAGAAAATACAGAGAGAATTGCTGAAGATTTGTTGGCAGAAAACTTCCCTGATACCATGAAAGATAACAAGCTATTTATTCAAGATGCTCATTGAACCCCACATAAGGTACATCCCAAATGAAAGTCACCAAGACATATTATAATCAAACGTGCCAAAACCAAAGATAGAGAGAATTTTAAGAGTGGCTAGGGATAAAGGAAAAGTCATCCACAAAGGAGAGTCAATAAGAATAAGCTCGGACTACTCAGGAGAAACCATGCAGGCAAGAAGGCAATGGGATGACATATATAAAGCCTTGAAGGAAAAAAACTGCCAGCCAAGAATTATATATCCAGCAAAACTGTCTCTCAAATATGATGGTGAAATTAGGGCATTTCCAGATAGACAGAAGTTTAGGGAATTTCTAAA